AATAAACTATAACATAATTAATGAAATGTAAAAAGGAAACGTGTATAACATGCATAAAACAAGGTAATGAGGTAACGAGGTAACATAAAAACAAGGTAACGAGGAGATTAAAAAAATTTTCTGCAATTCAAAACATAAATTAAAAGTGTTTCATTTTTATTTAGGAATTTAGTTTTTTTATTAACAATAATTACTTAAGTATTTTTTAAGGCTTGACTGCGGCTACAGCTCCTAAGAAAAATACGGCTCCGGCTCGGCTTACGGCTCGGCTAGGACTCCGAATTTTAGTTTAATAATTGTAAATTTGAAGTTTTTATTTCTTTTTTTGAAAATTTTTTGAATTTTTTTTTGTCAAACATTAATCTTGCTTAATTAATCAGTTAATTTTGTATGTTTTTAAAAAAACTCAGGAGCTGGTAGCCACTAGATTTTTGCAGCTTCACAGCTCTGACTCGGCTCCACAACCCTGATTTAAAGAATAAAATAGTAAATTTACTATTTAATTCTAGTATAGATATAGATAGATATAGATATATTTATACATACAAATATATATATATATATATATATATATATATATATATATATATATATATATATATATATATATATATATATATATATATATATAAATGCAAAAAGTTACAAAATATAATGGATTCACACATTACAATTCGTAACAAATTTTTTTATGTCCCTTAAAGTTAAAATGATGCGTTAAAAATAACAAACATTTGATACGTAACGATACGTAAAAATGTTGCGTCTCAATATGTAAAGTACGTACGTCTCGTTATGTAAAAATGTTATGTAACGTTACCTATGCTCAACGGACATTTTGCGCGTATTGTAACCTGGTTTCGTTATGCAACGAAACTTAAAAAAATTATTAGGATATATATATATATATATATATATATATATATATATATATATATTCATATAATTAAAATAAAAAATTAATTAAGAAAAAGTGGTTAAATTAAAAAAAATCTAAAAAAACTTAATTTCCCCCCCCCCCCCCCTATTTCTACAGTTGCTGATTTCCAATGCTGATTTACAACTATTAATTAACTTTGTGGAAGTCATCGTTAGTGATTGTGGATTGCTGTGATGACTTTCCAAGTAGAATCTTCAAATTAGTTTAAGTTTATGTGACACAGAAATTCCAGAACATCAAAAAATATTTTTTAGTTTTATAATGTTACTTTTGGTTGCTATTTTTACTGGATGACCATTGGCAATTCTTCTTTTTAATGTACCGGTTTCTTTTACTTGCTTGATCCAATGATATATACTACGTTTTGAGGCTAAAGGTTCGATAAAATGCTTTGCAGTTTCATTTTATTTTATTTCAGGATTCTGAACAATGAATTTGTACAATTTGTTTTTTATAGTCTCGTACTTTGCTGTAATTTAAAAAAAAAGAAAAGAAGTAAAATTTTTTATTAAACTGTATAATAAAATACAAGAGCTTTATTTTAGTTAATTGTTTACAAACCTTGTTAAATGTTTACAAACCTTTAAAAACCAGGGGTTTTTTTAATTTTATAACGAATTTGTGCGTTTTCAAAATACCACCAGTTAACGTTAACAAAAATAATAGTAATAAAAATGCACACAATTGGTATAGATAAAAACCTTCCATTATTTGTAATGACATTATTATATAGTTAATGATTTATAAGTTTCTACTTGTGTCGATTATTTGAAAATGCCGTTAAAAACTCAAAAAACGTAAAAATGTTAAACTCTAATAGAGTGGCACAAATATAGTCATCCAAAATGAAAAACGAAAAAATTTCATTAAGAAAACAATACCTTGGGAATATTTTATGACACTCCGCGTATTAAAATTTGTTCATGATTCTTTTGACAAGAAAATACGTCACTTTAAATTACTTTTTACAGTGAAAAAAAAAAATTAAAATAAAAATATTTTATTTAAAAAAATATTTATTAAAAAAATAAAAACATTGTTTATATATATGTATATATTTAAAAACATTCCGAATGTTTTTTTTAAAAAATATATATATATATATAAACAATGTTTTTATTTTTATTTTTTAAATAAAATATTTTTATTTTTATTCATGAGCAAGTGTTTCTACATCGACTATCTTATAGCCTGACTCACAACAGAGTGCTGCTACATCGACTGACAACTAGTCTGACTCACAACGGAGTGCTGCTACATCAACTGACAAATAGCCTAACTTGCAAGGGAGTGCTGCTACATCGACTGAAAAATAGCCTGACTCACAAAGGAGTGCTGCTACATCGACTGAGGTTTTGGTTTGGGCAGGCAGTCTATCAAGTAATTAAAGAAAAAAAAAAATTTTTCTTGTCTTGCATTTAAATTTTTTTATTATGTCAACAAAATATGGAAAAACTTTCTGATAACGTTGCAATTTCTTACTTTATTAAAAAAGTAACAAATTAATTTTAATGGTTGTTTACAATAAACTAGGGATGTACCTGAATTGGGTACATCCCTAGTTAAATCTTGATGTATCGAAAATTCCGTTAATGACCGAATGACCTAAAGGTCACAAATTCTCAAATATGTTCGGCTGGAATCACAATATTTCAGGCCGAAATGCTGGAAATTTTTTTTTATAAAACATGTGACACAGACTGTAAATTAAATTCAAAAATATTTATTATACAGGGCAAAGAAGAACTATAGGTAAAACTTGGTAAAAAATACAAAATTTTTAACAAACGCTATGTAATTTTATTCACAGTAATCAATTATTTAAGGATTTCTAGAGGTTTAGAAATATTGTGGCGCAATATTAAAAGAGTTAAAGTATAGAGTTGCTATCAAGTTTTTGGCAACAAACTTCTATATTTATCAAAAATGTAACCTGCCTCTGAGAGTAGTCTCATTTTAAATGTTAGTTAGATTTTAAATAATTAAAAAGTGTAGGATGCTTAATACAGTAAATATTTCAGTTTTAATCTAAATAAAAAAATAGAAAACAAGAAATAATTTTAAATATAAATATTATGCCGGGTAAAACTTTAATAAATAAAATTATAAGAAACAAATAAAAACAGATTAGATTTAAATGAAACAAGAATCAAATTAATGTGTGTATATATATATATATATATATGTATATATATATATATATATATATATATATATATATATATATATATATATATATATATATATATATATATATATATATATATATATATATATATATATATATATATATATATATATATATATATATATATAATGGGGTTCGTTAAGGTAGTATATTGTCACCAATTCTATTTACATACACAATACTTTTACATACACAATCTGATTTTATCAATCTCAAACCTACGTATTGGATATAAATAGGTGGCAGCTTCATGAATGTGTTGGCTTACGGTGATGATATTGTTTTAATTGCACCATCTTGGTCTTCTCTTCCAAAATTAATTAATTTATAATTAGCTCTATAAATAAGGAATCTTCCTTAATTAACATGTCCTTTGACACAAAGAAAACTGTATGTATGGTTGCTAACCTAACTCAAAACTCAAAAATTATATCTAACTCTTTCTCAGAATTGTGCATATCAGGCTGTTAAATTGCTTTTGTTGAATCTTTTAAATACCTTGGCCATATAATTAAAAATGGCCTAACTGATGATCATTTGTGCTCTACCAGAGTAAAGGTTAAATTGTTTAAGTCATATTGCATTTGTTTATATGGTACTCCTCTGTGACAAAATTATAATGATAAAACAATGGCACGCCTTCAGTATTGCTACATCAAATGTGGTAAAATGTTTTTTGGCTACAACAAGTATGATAGAATATCTCTCTTGCTTTTAGAGCACAGATTACCATCTTTTCATACAATTATCTCGAACTACAGACTTGCTTTTTGTAAACAGTTGATGGCTTGTTCCTTAGTGAATAATTCCATGTGTTCACTTGATCAAAGTTTAAAAAAATATTTTTCTTCTAAAAACTATGGACCTGGCACATAAATTGTATCTGCCTGTTGTCTGAAATATATTTATAATAATAATAATAATATTAATAATGATAATAATAATAATAATAATAACAATAATAATGATAATAATAATAATAATAATAATAATAATATATATATATATATATATATATATATATATATATATATATATATATATATATATATATATATATATATATATGTATTTTTTGATAAATCTTTTCAAACATTTTTTATGATTACTTTTATAAATACTTTAAATAGCGGAAAATGTTATCACAAAAACAAATGTTATGTAACATAATTCAAATTTAATAGTGTAATAAAATGTACTGGTTTCTATAAGCATTAAAAAAACTATTATGTTAAAATTTTTATAAAATAAATTTAAAAAGGGTTTTAAAAGCTAAAATATTTGTTTGAAATTTATAAAAATCATCAGGGGCCGTATTCTTATCTCTCCGTTAAGCTTAACGGAGCGTTAGTAAAAAATTTCTTTTTAAAGATAATTATAAAAAAGTTCTTAAAAAATATAAATTTTTAAAAATAAATATTTTATTTTAGTATTAGTTTTATTTTAAAAAATTTAAATAAGATTTTCGTCATTTCTTTACTTAGATATATTGTAATGAAATTTCAGACAAAAGCTCCGTTAAGCCTAACAGAGAGATGAGAATACAGCTGCAGACAAAAATATAAAACAAATACTGAAATATAAATTTAAATTCATAATTAATTGCAACGTTTTAATATAAATAATAAAAATCAGGCTACTGAGTTAAAAAAAATTTAATGCTTAGGCATTTTTTTTTAAATGAATTAGCTCAAAAAAATGGCGTATTTTATTAACATACCTTGTGTTCAACTTCATTTTCTGTTTTGTTTAAAAAATTAAAAGTTCAAAAAATAAAGCTTATATGCACTACTGAATTTATTAATAGTTTTGGAACAACTAAAATGATTATAAAATAAATGTACACAAAATATGGCTTATTTTTGTTTTTAGGCTCGTGTTAAAGCAACAGGAGATTTGGCAGCTGTCAAAATTATTAATGTAGAACCAGGTTAACCATTTATTTTGTGATTCCACACTTATTATTGTTATTATTATTATTACATTTCTGAAAAAATTTGCTGCAGCTTATTGCAAAATAAATGTTGCTTTAATTTAAAAAATTTTATGTTCAAATTTTATTATGATTATGCAAAGAGTATATCAGTGCTGTAACCAGCAATAATTTGGGCGCTACCAGTTAAAAAAAAAGGTCCTTTTAAAAAAATTTGGGGATCTCATGGACCATAACCCTCTCCCTTCCCCTATGGCGAATCTAATATAAGCCTAGTTATAAAATTATATGCAGTACCCATTTTATTTGCAAAATGGCAAATAAAAGTTTCACCTATATGTTCAACAATTTATGTTTAATAAAATCTTTAATCATTTGGAATATTTAAATTGTTTTTTGATATTTTTTTATGCTGCGTTTTTTATAATTAAACTAATTATATTACAAAAAATGTTAATTTGTTTTAATTTTAATTTAATTCTTTAATTAAAAGAAAACATACAGTTAAATAACTTTTCTTTTTAATAAAAACTTTGAATATTGAAAAAATTAAGTAAATGGAGCTTACAGTAGATTTTTTTGATTTTTGCAGACCTTTTAAATGACAAACATTTTTTAAATATAAAAGGAGATCAGCTGAAATTTTGTACAATAATAGTTTTTCACCAAAATAATTCGTTTTTGTATTTTTGACTAACTTCAAACATTTTTTGAGTAAAACTTGTGGCAAAAATCAAAATTATGTGTTAAAGTTAGTTTAAAACTTACAGCAGCCTGTTAAAATATCACTTTTTTGAAAAATATGATAAATTACATTCACTTTGCAGGCAAAGAAAATTAAATAAATAGTTTAAATAAATTACAAAAGATTTTACTGTGGAAATTCTATATATAAAGACAATCACTAAAAAAATTTAAGACCTATACCCTATTGTATGACATAGTTTTAGCCTTTTGAGTGTGATGCATTTTTAGTTTAAAAGGAGACCTAAAAAATAGCACAAGTTTTATGTTGCAAAAAAGTTAAAATAAAAAATAAAAGAACACTTAAAGAAGAAGTGTATATACAAATATTTTTTAGTGATAGTGAACAATACAACCTTTGATGTGAGAATACTTGGAAGATCGTTAATGTAAATTAAAAAAGAGTTGCACCAAGGATTAAACCATGAGGAACTCCTGAAGTTACAGGTTATGAAGAAGAGTGCTGTCCATCAAGGACAACTTTGATTCTATGGTTCAAGTATAGATGACAGCTCCAGAGAACACTTCTGCAAGACTACAACAGGTATGTTGTCTGGACCACAAGCAGTAGAAGAGTCTAAGCAGGAAATCACTTTAGGTACAGAAGCTGGAGTGATACAAATGTCAAGCAATGGATCAGCCTGTTTGACAGCTATATCAGGTAGAACGCAACTAGTGGAATCAAGAGATGATATTGATGAAAAGTTCTTAGCAAACTTTAAGCTTAAGGTGAAGTGACAAAGTCTGAACCACGCAAGTAAGATGGAATAACAGACTTGCTCTTATTATTGATACAGTTAAAGATTCTCTAGAAGTCATGAGTAGCCTAGGAAGAAATCACAAGAGCCTAATTTTTGTGATGAAATATGAGATTTCATAAACTGAGAATAGCTTTGGTGTTAGACAAAACTTTTTTACTTTTTTTGGTGTTAGACAAAACTTTTTTACGGGCTTTGGTGCTAGACAAAACTTTTTTACAATGGTTTCTAGCAATAGTAAACAGATAGATAGATATGGAAGTAACAGTTATAATTGGAAATTACAGCAGCCCAATGCGAGGAAAACAACGGAGAAGAGTGAGGCTTGATCTAGAATTCTCAAGAAGGGATAAAAGATTCAATGCCAGCCTGAATCCACAAAGTTATATAAGAAGCACATTTGTCAGCAGTAAAATGAAGAATTTTTAGCCAAGGGCCATCACAAAGAAAATCACGGAAAGAGTCCCAGTCAGCGTTAAGGTAGTTGTAAGAGGTACAATGGGGGATTCTGATGATGAAAAGAGGGGTTCTGATGATGAAGAAAATTGAGATAATAGTTTTAGAGAGATCCAACCATGATCAGAAGCACCTAAGGGTGAATGTGGATGTTAAACAACCAGGGTTGATATTTGACCGGGGCCGGGTTTGATAAAATATAGCCGAGGCTGGGCCAGATTTGTGACTGGGGCTGCATAAACATTTATACATCTTAAAGTATATATTTTTATTCAAAATTCATGTTATATTTTGTATATAAATGTATATATAAGCATTATTATGATCAACATGATCATCATAATCATTACCATCATCATCATCATCATCATCATCATCATCATCATCATCATCATCATCATCATCATCATCATCATCATCATCATCATCATCATCATTATCATCATCATCATCATCATCAACATCATCATCATCATCATCATCATCATCATCATCATCATCATCATCATCATCATCATCATCTTCTTCTTTTTTAGCAAATACTACATACTACTTACAATAAATACTAAAGTTTATATAAATATGAAAGGATTTTGTATGCCAGCATCTAAATAAATAGCAAACATATATGTTTATGTCTATAATATGTATGCATAAACACATCTCAGAAGCTTTTATTTCTTCTGGACTAAAAGTTTGGAAGATTTATTCCTAGTCTTCAATTTTAAGTCAAACCTCATTCTACCCTATATTTTTCACCATCTTGAGCAGTTACTTTATTAATCAATTATTTTTTTTTTTTACAAATACATTTCTCTTCAGAGCAAATGCCCTTTTATTATTCCAAGAAGCCAACGTAAAAAGGTCCCGTAGCAGTGACATATCCAGAAATTTTTTGGGCATTCCTGTCTACCCTAGAGGACCCTTTTTTTTTTTTTTTTTACTAAAATTTAAATAAAATTATTCGTATAATATAACTCACCCTAGTCTTTTAGGTTTTTTCTAACAAAAATTTAAATAAATTAACCAAAATAATGTAAATAATGTTACATTTATTACAGAACAACGGATTTAACCCCAACATCGATTCATCGCTAATCGCTACTTTTCATTTACTCATTCACTTACTATTTATAAATTATAATTAATAAATACTATTTATTAAATTAAATTATTAAATTCAAAATATTAAATATTATTAACTAGAAATATAAAGTGTATGATTTCATAAACAAGCAATAACTATAACGTTTAATAAACAATATTTGTATGACTCTTTGATATAAACTTGATAAGATTTATTGCATAGCGTATTTATAGCAAGGTAAATTCATTCAAAGTTTTAATTACTTCATTCAAAAATTAATAACTTTTTTTTCTAGTTCTACTCTTACTATTCAAATCAAGTTTTTTGGCGCGAATATTAACATGTTATTTTATTATTTAAATAAATGTTATTTTAATTTTATGTTTTAAAAACTTTCATTCGTTTTATTATTTAAAGTATTTTTAATACAATTTTTACTGTTAAAAAAATGTTAAAAATGAAAAAGTTAAAAGCTCATATAGTTTAATCGCTTTGAAAATTATGTTATGAAAATGTAAGCGGAGGAGAAACTCAAATTAATGTATTTTTAAAATGTTATTTAAAAATGTTAGGCGTTTCATATTTTAATCCAATCAAAACGTGCAAATTACATTTAATCCAATTACAACTTGTTCTATATTTCATCAACGTGAATTCGAATTAAGCATTTTGGTTGGCTTAAAATATATTTTAAAATACATTTATAATGAATTTTAAAAATCGTTTTTCAAATGTTGGTATTTCTGCGATTGTAACAAATGCTAATATAAAACTGTTTTAAATTGAGTTTGGGCTGAAATTTGGGGGCCCATACCGGTATACCGGTTTCAAAATCGGCCTGGATACATCGCTGCGTAGGATGATATGTTAAGCTCGGTTTTTCTCAGTATACTAAATCTTGTATCTTATATCAGATGTTAGGTTCTAGAAACTTTTGGTTAGTCTTCAACAATTTCATCAACTAAAGTATGTCTAACATTTAGACTTACTTTAGTTGATGACTGTGGCTTAGCTTGCAGTGGCTTATGGATTTATATTCTGGACTTAAAATCCACAATTTTTGTAAGACATTAAAACTCATTTACTGCAAAAAATGTTGCAATAATGTTGGTATTCCTATATTGATAAATAACAACCCTCTTACTCTCAGACAAAGTCTAAAAGTACATTGTAAATGTAATGCGGTTGTGATGTAGTGGTGTAAAGAGAGAGGGCTTGGGCAATTTTAAAACATAAATGAAACACAAGTACACTTATTTCTTTATCTCTGATATACATAACTCATAATACCTTCATAATCATTAATAGCAAGATTGTACTCACAATCACTACCTACCTTCTAATGGATGGAGCACTTGTTATATTACTTTGTCAAAATAGACAAAAACTGACATGATTGCGCATCATTAATCCATTTCAAATGTAGTTTGTATCTTTGCATGAATTTCACTTGAGCATCTTGGTTTTCATTATAAATCTCAAGCTCAAACCCTATGTACCAATCATCATTATAAAAGTAAGCAATGTAGTTATCAGGTTTCAAATTTGCAGGATCTTTTTGTACCAAGTTAACATTTTTTTGGTAATAGGTATCATAAACAGGATTGGTAGAGGTTCTCTGTAAAAAATATTTGCTTCTACTGGTACAAAACTGCCAAGCTTGGACTGTGCTCAAATCTTCATATATCGTTTTCAGAGGTTATAATAAGTTTTATGGTTATTAATATCATCACTTAATAAAATATGCTAAACACCTTTTAACACTTATATAAATAGTTTACATAAGTTTTAAAACTTATGTAAACAGTTTGTGTGGCGTGAAAATCTAATTTGTAATTGCTGCTCATAGTCTCACTTTTGCTGCTTTTTTTTTATAGTTTCTCCTATACCAAAAACATAGGAACATAGTAAAGAAGTGATGCTCAGCATTTATATTGTAATCTTCAAGGTGG